ATGGGTTAGTCAATACCCTTCTCTAACGCCACAATGGAAAGGCATAGAATCTGTCATCGTCATCCTGACTCACGGTCCAACTTTCAGATGCACAGGAAGCCACTGAAAATGCCATGGCTTGGATCAGGGCATCTGTCTTTAAATTGAGATCCTTGCTCGTTAGATCTTTTACACATAGGTCTGTCTTTGCATTTACTAAATTATTTATGTTGCTACTCTCCTTAAAGGATTAGACATGGAATTAGGGAGTGCAGGTGGCCCAATGGTAAGGGGTTGTACTGCTAACCCAAAGGTATGGGATTCGAATCCACTGGATCCTCCACCGGAAAAATATTGATCTCATCTCTTGTGTGATTTACAGCCTCTCAAAATTCACTGGACTGTCAGCTAAGAGTTGGTTCCGACTCGATGGTACAAAAGTAACAACAACATATGTGATTATCTTTACTGCCTTTTACTCTCAAGTCTCTACCAGAATCTCCCTTCGTCTTGGTCATGTTGTACTGACTCCTTCCCCTTGTTGTTGTTGTTATGTGCCATCGAGTCACTTGCGACTCATAGCGACCCTATGTACAACAGCCCTAAACCCCGCTCTGTCCTGTGCCAATCGCACTGTCTCCGACACTCCCATCCCAATTATCCCAGTCACTGAATCAATCCACCTCATAGAGGGCCTTCCTCTCCTGCGCTGTCCCTCCACCCTCCCAAGCATGATGTCCCTCTCTAAGGACCGGTCTCTCCTCACAACATGTCCAAAGTATGTTAGACGGAGCCTCAGAATCCTTGCCTCCAAGGAGCCACCCGATTTAACCCTTTCCAGGACAAATCTGTTTTCTTAGCAGTCCATGGTATTCTCAATACTCTTCTCCAGCACCACAGCTCAAAGGCATCAATTCTCCTTCTATCCTCCCTGGTCATTGTCCAACTCTCTGATGCATAACAAGTGACTGCGAAGACCATGGCCTGTATCAGACACACCTTAGTCTCCAGAGAGACACCATTGCTCTTCAGTACTTTGGAGAGGTCCCTAACAGCAGACTTTCCCATGGCAATGCACCTTTTAATTTCCTGGCTGCTGGTGCCAAGACTGTTGACTATGGAGCCAAGTAAACTAAAGCTGTGTACAATCTCAATCTCTTCATCCATCCTGATGCTGCCAATTGGTCCAGTGGTGAGAATCTTTATCTTCTTGACATTGAGCCTCAATCCATATTGTAGGCTGCAGTCCTTGACACTCTGCAGCAGGCGCTTCAGGTCCTCTTCAGTTTCAGCAAGCAGAGTTGTGTCATCTGCATAATGCAGATTGTTGATAAATCGTCCACCAATCTTGACTCCACATTTCTCCTCATAGAGCCCAGCCTCCCGGATAATCTGTTCTGCATATAGGTTGAAAAGATATGGAGATAGGATGCATCCCTGGCGTATGCCCTTCCCAATTTTGAACCATGCAGTGTTCCCTTGCTCTGTTCTGACGACTGCCTCCTGGTCCAAGTATAAGTTTCGCATTAGAACGATCAAGTGTTCTGGGATTCCCATTCTTCTCAGAGTCAACCATAGTTTGTTATGATCTACACAGTCAAATGCCTTTGCATAGTCTATGAAACACAGATAGACATTTCTCTGGTATTCCCTGCTTTCAGCCAAGATCCATCTAACATCAGCTACAATATCTCTAGTACCATGAACCCTTCTAAACCCAGCCTGGACTTCTGGTAGCTCTCTGTTGATGTGCTGATTAGTAATGATTTCCTTCCTTTCCATAACCATCAAAGACTGCTTCTTTCTTTGCATAAACTTTTCCTAACTTTATAGCAACCTCATACAATAACTGTCCTTTGTGACTGACTTATTTCACTTAGCATAATATCCTCTACGACTGTCCATGTGCCAGTGTGCCGTACTATGGCGGGTGGCATGCTGTTGTGATGTGGGAAGCTATGTCCACTGGTATTTCTAACACCAGCATGGTTTCAGTAGCATTTCCTGACTAAGGTACAGGACAGGTCATCCACTTATGAAATAATGGGCCCTTGGATGCCCTCGGAATAGCAGCTGAATGCTGTCTGATAACAGTGTCTGAAGATGAGGCCCTCAGGTTGGAAGACATTCAGAATATGAGGGAGACACTGCCTTAGTGATATG